GGAGAAAAATTATGAGCTGGACTCTTGTAAGTTCCATGTGCAATTTATTTTATGCAAAAATTCATATTCTATGAATTGATAGAATTGGATTCTTATGATTTATCTAATTCCAGTTAATAATTATGAATATGCCAGTTAAATTTCTTATCATACAAACACACCTAAGATGTAAATATAAATAGCTATATATATTCTCATCTCGATCTCAAATACCCCAACAACGAATAATTAAACCGACGGATCCGGAGACAAGAGGCTAAACATAATGGCGTCCTTGGGCTGACCCTTGAGAAGATAATATTTCCTGAGCACCCCTTCCCTCACAAACCCCGCCTTCTCCATCACCCTCTGCGACGCCGTATTGCCAGATCCACCACCGCCTCCACCCGCTCCAGGTGGGCCCACTCCGCGAACACGGCGCCCGCCGCCATCCTCACCGCAGCCGTCGCGATCCCCCTTCCCCAGTGCTCAGACCCGACCACATACCCGATTTCGGCCCGGCACCGGTTGTTTCCGCAGAACGGGCTGACCGACACGGAACCCACGGCCCGGCCCGACACGCATATGGCCCTGTGCCATGGGTGCGGGATAACCGTGGTCGCCACGTGATCGGCAGCGGCCTCCCTGGAGGCGAAGGGGCTTAACGAGCAGAATCTGCTTACTCTCTCGTCCGAGTACCTGCCACAGATTTTGGGGGAAAAGTCATAAAATCAGATTTGAAAAGGTTAATTATGGAGGAATTGTGATAACTGTAATTGTGTAGTCTAATTTGTGTACCACTTCATTAGGTCGTCGGCGTCGGAAATGTTGAATGGGCGTAGGGTTAGGTCGGAATCCGAAACTTTCTCCATGCGCAAGAGAGTTGACTTGACAGTGGATAACGTGTTTGCGTGTCTTCTTTTTTTCTGTTTTTTTTTTTTACATTGGTTTTTTTTTCTTCTTACAATGGGTTTTGAATTTATAAGAAATTGTTAATAATTCCGTGTATCAGCTGCCGCATTGGACTTGTTGGCGGCTATACATAGCCCAGTCTTGATAAATAATTTTNTTTTTTTTTTTTTAATAAAGAAAATTTTACTTTTGGTACTTCAGGTATACCTACTTTTCGCTTTTGATACCCATAGTTTAGACTTAATCATTTTCAGTCACTAAAGTATTCAAAATCCATCATTATTGCCCGAATCGTCAGTTGACCGTGAGTCAATTGATCATCACCTTCTCTAGCCGGTTGCTTTCCCCAAAGAAACTAATTTTGAGCGTACCTACTACATATTCATGTAAGAAAATGAGTGAGGCTTATTTTACAATTTACGTGCTTGAGAGTTTGTAATTTCAAAGCAAAGTTAATATTTGAGGCATATGGTCGTACGGTCGTTGGAATTCGACTCGATTGAGTTGGGCATTTTGAGGCTCTTCTTATTTGAAACCGTATCCATGCTCGTGTCTTGTTTTCTTTTCTTTTTGTTCGGAACGAACAAAGGTTTAAGTGTGATGGAGTTGTTTGTCCCATTTTTGTTGCATTTTTCGTTACTGTTTTGTAAGTCTATTTCCCCCGTTTTAGGTTTTTTAGTTGGTTTTATAGTTTATTATGTGTTTTGCTCTATTTTGGCTTTTTATGTGTTTTTCGTGTATTTTGCCGGTTTTTTACGTTTTTCTTCTTGTTTATAGTGTGCAGGTCGGAAGCCTCGTGAGGAATAGATTTTGCCCGAAAATTGACTCGGCAAATATGGTTAAGTAGAAGGGTTTGTTAGCTACAAATAGGAAGAAGCGGAACTCGATTTCGAATTCGGACGAGTCCGAGCGGGAAAAAAAAAAAACAAAGTCGCGCGAAACACGTTCATTGTGTAGGTCAAGAGCTTTGGGAGAATATGATTTCAAGAATAATTTGTCAATACAAGCATTATTGAATAGAGGGGTTCGTTAGCGACGCATAGGAAAAAACGAAACTTAATTACGAGTTCGGACGAGCGCAAACGAGCCCTAAATGCAAATTCGCGCAGCCGAACCAGCGCGCGGCGCTGCAACCCTTCGCAACGAGAAACAGCCCCACGCCGCGCCACACACTTCCTCCACAGCGTGAAGCACTCCACGGGCCTTCAGAGAGTGCTGCTTCACGCGCCACGCCGTTCTGCCCCTCCGCGCCGCGGCACCAGCCCACCTCCGTGCCTCGCTGCACGCCGCGCCTTGCACCACGCGCGAACAGAAGCTCCCAGGCAGTCCCTGCCATGCCGTGTTGCCAGCCCCGCGCCGCGGCCAGTGCCCCTACCGCGTCGTGCCACTTGCCTCGCGCCATGTCACCTCACATTTATATATATTTTGCATGGGACATCGATAAAAGAAAATTCTCCCCTTCTGGGGATGAACGAACCCTAGCCCGTAAAAACCACGAAACTCCTTTTCTCTTCTCCTCTTTTTCTTCTTCGTTTTTTTTACCTCTTCTTTATCTTTCTTTTCTATTTTTTTTCTTCTTCTTCATAGTACTTAGGAATTAAGCTTGTAATTTAGATTCAACACTCGAATTTGGGATTGATTGTAAGTCTTTCTCTTTTCATTAATTTATGAAAATGGTTTATTTGAGGAGAATGATGAATTGTGTTGAATTGATTTTACATAGCTAATTCTCATTGCTAGTGATAGGGGATGTTTGTTCTTATTTAATTCGTATCTGCCGGGCTTGATTCGTTTGTTCTTGTGAGAGTTAATTTGATTAGGAATTGATGAATTCTTGCTTGATAATTTGATATGACCTAAGAGTGACACTTAGGTTAATTTATTGATATAATCGAAGAGTGACACTTCGATTTTGCGATTGAAACGATTGAATATTGATTTGTTGAGTTAGGGTTTGTTGATTCTACATGATTAGTTGATTAAACACATTCTAATTGAATTAGCGACTTTTAGAACCGAAAGGGGAGAAGTCGTAGGCCTAGGCTCGCATGAGGTAGATAATTTCGTAATTGAATAGTCTATGATTTTAGATTGAAATACGTGCTTGTCGATGACCTATCCCTTGTTACGAAAAGTTATTAGGATTGGGATAATTGGCCTGCGTCGTATGCTTGAGTTTGTTCATCTATGTTCAATCCCTTGTTACGAAGAGTTATTGAGAGCAAACAACTAGATGTTTAAGCGAGATCGTCAATCTGGAATAGAATGATTTATATCCCGGTGTGCGAATAGAACTTGAATTAATCGTCCCCGACTCCCAAGCTTCTTCATCTTTATTCGTTTATATTTTAGGCGGATTATTGTTTTACTTTATTTCTTAGTTAATAATTCATCCAAACTGCGATCTAATTACAATGTTTAGGATTTATTTCTTTTTGTGTGTTATCGATATCAAAGCTAAATTCCGAACCGTCTTCCTCGAGAGATCGACCCGAGAAACGGATCATTGATTCGGTACTCGGGAAAATATAACAATTTGTACACAATAACTAGCGGCAGCAAAAGTCAGGGATTTCGCTGAGAGTAAATTGCAGGAGAATTTTTGCAGAAGGTAAAACTTGAAATGAGGAGGTGAGAAGCTTGTGTATAGAAGAAACTAGAGAAGATGAAGAGGCGATTCAAGCTCAGTTGTTCGATGCAGGTGTTGATATCCGAGTTGGACACACGTAAAGGCTTCGGTTCAAGATAAGGA